ATACCTTTCCTGGATTGAGAAGCCCTGCTTTCTTTCATTCACACCCTAGTTATGGGGCTATTGCCATGAACTCTACATGAGACTACCCTTGAAGAGTATCTGGAAGCTACAGCTAGTGCAGAATGCAGTGGTGTGAGCAGTTTTGAGTGTCACTCGAGCTGCACATATACTGTCTGTAATATGTGAGCTGCATTGGATGCCATTTTGCTTCCAGGTTCAATCCAAGATGTTGGTTATCAGCTTTAAAGCCTTCATCCCATGGGACCAGATTACCTGTGGAACCATCTTGTCCAATTGCATCATCCTGTCCTATCTGGTCAGGCAGAAAGGGTATGCTGTGGATCCCATCTGTTAAAAAATTTTGAATGACAGGATCCAGGAAGGGAACCTTTTCTGCCATTGCCCTCATCCTTTGGAATATCTTTTCCACAGCAGTGAGATGGGGCCCCACACTTCTGGCCTTTTGAAAGAGGGGTTAAGACTTGGCTCTTCCAATTAGCATGGAGGTTGAAGAGTGATACGAAATCCTCAAAGCAGTTGGTGATGTGAGGGAGCTCCCTCCGCCTTTATAATCTGTAATATTTTAATTTAAACTTTGTTCTTAATTCTGTTTTATTTTTTGTGTTTTTATTTATTTATGATTTCATATCACCTTTTATGTTTTTATTGTAAACTGCACAGTCACTCTTGTGGGACACTCTGGCACTAGCAGTTCGACGGGCCCTTACTTTTCTACTCTTTCAGATGGCCGTTAAGACCTGGTTTTTTACTGAGGCCCTGGGATTGTATGGGTAGAAGGTATGGAAGGAAGTAGCTGAGTTTGCTTGGGGCATCCCAAAGGGAATGATTACAGCACAGGATTTTTCTCTAATGCTTTACTGTTATTGTTTTTATTATTCTTTTATTTATTAGTTTTATGGTCATTGTAAAAATGGTAAATTGCTTAAGAAGGGTGTCCATATAAATATTTTAAATAAATAAATGCATTACTTAGGAATGGCAATTCCAGCACTCCGATACCATTGTTAACCAGTGCTTTTTTTTTGTAAAAACAAAAAGGTGCCGGAACTCACACACGTCATACAACCCGCCTTGCCTACCCTACAAGATTCCATCCCAAAAAGGTGCCGGAACTCCGTTCTGGGCGTTCTATGAGAAAAAAAGCCCTGTTGTTAACTGAATTCCACCAGTCATTAGGCAAGGACCCACCCTGATCCCAAGTGACCCCCAGCTTAGTCCCTCCCATCTCTGAGCTGTGGGGCGCAGTGGTTGTAATGCAGTATTGCAGGCTAATTCTGCCAACTGCCAAGCAATTTGATTCTCACCAGCTCAAGGTTGACTCAGTCTTCCATCCTTTCAAGGTCTGTAAAATGGGGACCCAGATTATTGGCGGCAATATGCTGACCCTGTAAACCTCTTAGAGCGAGCTGTAAAGCACTCTCAAGCGGTATATAAGTGCTATTGCTATCTTACTTCACAAAATGCATTTAGAGTCTGCCAGTCTGTCTTTCATGTTCTGGCAAATTCATGTCTATCTGTGGGAGAAGAACCTTATACAGACAGTGCAAGGCCTTATTTCCTTTTTCTTTATTTTTCCTCTGGGACTTGGAAGCAGCCGAATTAGAATTAGCTGGACCAAACCTATGCTTCACGTACAAAAGCAAGTATTTGGAAGCAACATTGTGTTAGAGAAGGAAAAGGACAATGCTGCAAGCAAACGTTGCAAGTGAGAGCTGAGCAAAACAAAAGACACCAGGGCAAAGAGGACTCGGAAAGTATGTGGGACTAGAGCTAGCCTGCAGAAATGCAGTGTAGGGATGGGGGAGAAATGGGTTCAGAAGCATGCACAGCCACAACTGAGCAGAGGAGCAGAGCCAACAGCCAGGCCAACTTCTGCAGTTCCACCCAGAGCCAGCCAGCATTGGCAGCAGGCTTTTCCCCTTTCAGCAAGAAACAGAGACACCGAACTTCTAATGGCTCTGTAGGCCAGAGACAACAGAGACTTGCTAAAAAAAAGTTTATATAGTTCAATGAGTTACACTTTCACAATGTCCCAGAAGTAGATGATGCTCCCTATAGTGATTTGGTCAATAGAACTCCTTGACAAAAGAACTCTTTGCATCATAGGAGAATGTATAGTAACTTTGTCTGTTTCAGCAAGGCTGGGAAATGTCTTCCTCCTCCTCTCGATCAAGCCCTTTATGCTTCCCCCCATTCCCATTCCTAACCAGGATACCTTATAGCAGTGGTTCTCAACCTGTGGGTCGGGACCCCCTTTGGGGTCAATCGACCATTTCATGGGGGTCGCCAAGCAAGGCTGTCCGCCATTTTTTTTGTCCGCCATTTTCCCCCCTTTTCCGGCAGGTGCCTTACCTCCCTTGGGCTGGGCCAGCTGGTGGTCGGCCTGCTCCGTCTCTGCTGCTTGCCAGCTACGCCTCGGCCTGCACAGGGGGCGGAACCACGCATGCGCGGCGCTCCTGGGCAGGGAAAGTCCTCAACTTACGACCGGTTGGGTAGTCCTCGACTTACGGCCGGTTTAGTCCTCGANTACTCAAGTACACTATCGAGATATCCCTTGATTAGGGAAATTAGGGAAAAACTTGTTTTTTATGTAGGTGTCTGATAGCTTATTTACCTATTTCACCAACTTCTTTTCTTGGTAGAATTGATACTTTAATCAGACCTTTTTTTTCAACTTCTCTGAAGAAATAGTAGATGCTAATTCCAGGGAAGCTGTCCGTATGCAATAGGACAAAACAGAACAAATACTCTTCTTTCGTTTTTATTCAGGATATGAATTCTATTACCTGTCATCTCTTGCTAGTATTTGAATATGTGTTGTTAGCCTTGGTCCTCTTCTTAATTGTGAATGAGTTTGGCAGCTATTTTGGAATTGCACTGTGTTTTCTCTCCTTCCTAGAGAAAAAGAAAATGCTTCCTTAAGGAGCATTTGAACTTGTGACATCCAGTTAAATTGTTACTGCCCTAACCCTTATTAGTCCTTGTTCTTCCTCAACAAGGTTATTAACTCTGTAGCTGCTATATACTTCTAATTATTGTGTTTTAAAGTTATCTTTTTGGTTATCACTTCAGCCCTCAGGCTCTGTTATTATGCCTAACTGTAGTTACCTTTTCTGTTTTGCACAAAATAATTACATTTTTAAGAAATTGTATTGTCATTTCAACTCAGTCTGTCTTTGGTATGGCCTACATTTTGCTACATCACTACAGCACTATTTCCATGGTTTGGATATTCATGAAAATCATGGCCATCATCCTGGAAAGAAAGCAACTATTCTCCAAACAAAGTGGCTTCTATTCGGAGATTTGCAAATTGGATCTCTGCCTTGATGCACTTTGTCTTTTATTGCCAGTTAAGGATTCTCCATGACAAGTCAGGCCCTCCTCTACAATCTCTTCAATGATCTTTTTGATGGCTCTATTTTTGCATGATTTATGCAGTTCTCATCCTTGATGTAGTCTTTCATGTGGCAGTGCAACATAGCAGTTGGATAGCAGAACTATGAAAAATAATACATTGGGGGAAATGTGTTATTTTCTGATTTCATGTAATAGAGCATCCTGTCCTTACCTGCTATTTAACCATGGGTGCAATGTGCAGAGAATACAAGAACATGAGCAGTTGCTGTGGTTCTTGCTCCATTCTCATATAGTGTTGAGGCAGCCTTGAGAAGTCTGGGACAATTGGACAAGTAGGGATTTTGCCCATAATCATGTGCATTAACAATGTGTTTGCCGCCAAAAAGTCCTCTATGTCTGTTAAAAATTCTGATGTGGCTCTGGCATACAGCACCATGCACATGTGCAGCTTAGTAGGAAATGTGAATCCATCCCATACAATAAACTTTTTAAAAATAATCTGTTTCTCCCGGACTGTTGTGAATCAAAACCTTAAGTTCCACAGTGTTCAAGTAGAACTTGTGATGGGTTTCAGCCAATCCTTCCTGTTCATTTTTTCCCCAAGCAAACTTAGAAAAAGATGGACAGAGTGGCAGCTTGCTAGAACCAAAATATGATTCTGTCAGTGTGTCACATATTCTACAATTACGTTGTTTTGGTTTCTTTTGCAGGTGCAATACTTTTTCAGTATCCTAGACAGCTAACAGAACATTGTGGAGTAAAACTGCTTAGAAAAAACAAACTGCAGAATGGGAAATGTATGTTTATTCATTTATTGTCCAGTGTTTAACCTGAATGAAATACAAGGCCCACAAGAGCACTGAACTCCTAGCTATTACATATATTAGAACATAGAGTTTTGCACTTTAGACAACACTTAACACCAATTGATGGGATAACTGCATTGCTTCTCAAAGTTCAAAATAAAGATTTATTTTTAGACATGTGGCTTTGGTTTATTTTTATACATTACACCTTTTTCTTGCAGAAAAAAATTGTACAACTGCATAAATATAAAATTCTTCCACCATGAAAATGGTTAAAACATTCAATAAAGACAGCACCACAGCATGTGATGCTTCTCACAGGAAAAGAAGATAATATACAAAGCAAAATAATTATTCCTCTCACTAATGAAATTGATAGGCTGACATAGATGTCACACACAATTTTAAAACATGGTAAGATGAAAGAGAAAGAAAAAGACACCAGTTGCTACAAAGCACAGTACATAATCACTTACTCTCCATTACTTTCAAAGTTAAAGTATTTTTTTCCCTGCCACCACATTTAATTTAGTAACTACTGAGGAATAGAAGTTGGGGGAAGCTTCATGGAGTGCTATTGAATAATCACAGTTGGGCCTTTACCTTTTCAAAACAAAAGAGCCGGTTGGATGTAGTTAAGGTGATCTAGAAATCAGGGAGCTGTGAGTTCTAGTCCCATTTAGGCATGAAAAACTGGAAGGGTGATTTGGGCTAGTCACTCTCTCAACCCAATTCATCTCATAGGGATGCTCTTGTGGGGAAAATAGGAGCAAGGAATATTAGGTATGTTTGCTGCCTTGAGTTGTATATGAAAAAAAAAGTTTAAAAAAATCTTTAAAAAATGAAAAAAGTACTGTGCCAGTTTTAATCCCACTGAGTATTTACACCTTGTGCAGCAAATCTATGCTCACAGAAAGTAGAAAACAGTACAATAATACATGGCTTGAAAAATGACCAGAATAATGCACCTAAAGTACTATACACTAAATAAAATTCACATGGCAGCAATACTTAGGGGGCAGAAACACTGCTTACTACAAGTCAGTTATGGAATCATAATTTACAGTAGAAATGGGCATATCCCAAGGCTCAATTCTGTTTTTCATCCTTTACAATAGAATAAATATCTGTCACTATTGCTACACTTTTAGGTTTACATTCTAATCTATTTAAATGCAGAAAGCTAGTGTAAAGCATATAGATTATGTGTAGGTCCCATATGTATGAGTTTTGTTCAAGACTAGTAGTTTTGTCTCTTTTTATACTTTTTAAATGGCTAAGAGGAAAAAAGAAGAAACAAACTCTGCTTATGATCAGCTGCTTTTTATCTCAATTTTCATATCAAAACGTCCCTGGAAACGATCTTTGTCACTGTAGTAAATATTTTGACCGTAGGCCTTGCACTCAATACGCAGCCCGGTACCAGTAGTCAGGTTGGTGAACTGTACTGCTATAAGGGGTTGAAGGTATTTCTTCTGAATGATCCTGCCATAATATGGGTAGTATTGTAGAGGAAAGCCACCATAGCCAGCAATACCATAGTATTCCACAGGGCCAATTTTGTCCAAATCCTCTTCTTTCTAAAGAAATAAATGAAACGTATTTTAAAAAAGCATCTTTCCTGACCTGTGGTCCAACTTGAGCTGTTCTCTAACTGAGTAGACATCCAATTATGCATTTTCCAGTACCCTTTTAAGTGAGTTCAGATAATTAAAATAGTCATGTCTCCATCAACCTTAATTGCCTTAAAATAAGGTTCCATGATAGAGTGTCTGAATCACTAAAATTTTACATCCTTTTCACACATTACAATAACATAAATGATGCAAAAAAGTAAGAAACATATACCCACATAACAAAGTGAATGTCTACCTGAAACTAACATGTGGATAACTTTTTGTGCCATTA